AAGTACTTTTGCCTCTGTTTTCATTTTCTTTGTTATTGTTGTTGTCATTACTATTACCCAAGGGGTTTTAAAAATATTTATAGTAGGATATCGTTTATATACAATAAAATTCAGACTTTTCAGTATAAAATTCTGTATTTTGATAAATGCATACAAACATGCAACTATTACAATCAAGGTAGAGAAAGTTTGATCATCCTTCGCGTGGACAGTTTAAGGTGTCTTATGCACTTAAAGTAGGAATGTGGTTATATTCCCAAATTACTAAGGTCAAAATATCCTCTCTACATTCTAACATCTGAGCTCAAACACCATGTCTTAGCATGTCAGTCTCACTAAGTTTTATTATTTTCCACAAATAACACCTTTTTTATTTGTTTCTCGTATTCGTAATCCATGAACTACTACATGTGTTGTTTTAGGGGAATGTAACCTTTCAACAGTCCTGATTCCCAAGGGGTGGTCTACTGTCACTGTCACATCTACAAATGTGTAGTAGTCTCTCACTCAAGTCTGCCACAACTGTGACTTTGTGGAGATACAGTGGGTAAATAAAAGATGTCTCTTTCCTCCATATTTTGCATGCACGTTCACTCTAAGACTGACTTACCAACCTTTCACTTGTGATAAAAAGTAACCCTAGCAAGATGAGTCAGGAAAAATACTTCCTCTCACATGATATTTTGAGTGAGATTTTTTTCTTCATTCTTTTTTTTTTATGATTTGCACATACTTTCAGTGAATTTATTTAGGAATTTTGAAACCAAGTTCATGAACTGTTAGGGTTTTCCATTGTCCTGGTGAAAGCTTGTTTTCTCGAAACATCCTTACCTGCCAATAGGTCCACTTACTCAGTGTTGTGAGACAAAGGTGCAGACCAGGAGTCAAACGGCCAAGGCAAGGTGTTCAGTTGCGACTGTCATCGGAAAAATCTAAGTAGTGAGGAGAAGCAAAGTCTGAAGTTTCAGGATCCAGAAGTTAGTCTGTTGAAAATTATAACAGAAGTTTCAGGTGCTCAGTAAGAATAACATTCTATTTTTCTAGATTTTTATTTTATTTATGGGTTTTATGATATGTTTCATTTCTAATTTATGGTGATTTATTTATCATTCTAAATTAATCATTCCCCAGTGTAATTAATTTTGAATTTTAAAAGTAAAATCTGAATATCCCTTTGATATGGTCTAAATATTTGTGTCCTGCTAAAATTCATATGTGGAAATCATAACCCCAAGGTGATGGTATTAGAACATGGGCGTTTGGGAGATGATTAGGTCATCAGTGTTGAGCCTTCATGAATGGGATTAATGTCTTTACAAAAGAGTCCCAGAGAGATCCCTTGTACCATTTTGCCTTGTAAAGACACAAGCAAGAAGGCACAAGTCTATGAACAGGAAGTGAGCTCTCTGCCAGCACCCTGCCTTGGACTTCCCAGCCTCCAGAATGTGAGAAATGTTCTGTGTTGTTTATAAGCCACCCAGTCTATGGTATTTTGTTACAGCAGCCCGAATGGATTAGGATACTAATTACTCTAATATCAACATCTGTTCCAATATCCACCTGCCAGGAAGAAAGTCATAGCCTGCTTTTTTTTTTCACTCTCTTGAGGACATCCTTTGCCATAATTCTTTAGTCATTTGTTTCCATGCTATTTTGTGGGCTGTAATAATAACTTTAACACTTTTTGTATCACTTCCTGTATGCGTTGTGCTCTTCTAGGCTCAATTCATTGTCTTGAGATAAGTACCATTTTTATCACCATTTTACAGATCAGAAAACACAGAACAGAGTGCGTTCAATCAATATCTAAGTTGAGTTATGTGGTTGGTTGAGGCCAAGTGTCTTGGCGCTTAATCACTGCATTAGCCTGGGAAGTTGAGCCAAATATAAAAACTGTAACTCCAAGTTGTCAATTTACTGTTTTATGCCCTTTATATTTGTATTAAACATCAAAAATGTCCTTTCTTCCTTCCCTCTTTTTCTTTTATCAATATCGTCTCAAAACTACAAAAAATAATGTATACAGAAGTGTTCTATTGAATAATACCTTGTCAAAACTTTGTTTTGAAAGTATCTCATATATCACTTAATATAATGGAAGATATTAGAAACAGAAAAGTTCTTAGCATGTACATAACCATAGAAAATATGATAACAAATATGAATCCAGATTTTGAAGCAATTAGCAGGTCAGGATACCTACTAAGAAATAAATATTTCATTCTAACAACAGAATGGATTTAGGGGATTTGATTCCTTCACACAACTTGTCAGAAAATAATGAGATGTAATGCTTCATAAATTATAAAACAAGTACTGGTTTCAGAATGACATGAGTTTTGAAATGCTTTTGTGGTATGCATGTAGTCATGAATAGCCCTTTGTCATCACTTGTTAATCAAAACTAGGGTTGTAGTCAAATCAGCATAGTGTGTGGCAAGCTGCCACTGAAACTCTTTTTTATTGCCCTCCTTCTGACTAGACAATACCCACTACAGTACATCTCAGTAACACCAAGAACAGGGTTAATATATTTGACCCATATTTGAATCACCTCGTGTTGAGTCTACATATCCTCTGATTCATTAAGATCTAACATAATACTGAAAATGCAAAGCAAGATGGAACTACGTAGAAATGTTGATTTTTTTTAATTTCCATACCACATATTTATTTCTTTTTTTATAGAAGTATAGTCAGTTTACAATGTTGTGTCAATTTCTGGTGTGCAGCATGTTTCAGTCCTATATATACATAAATATATTCATTTTATATTATTTTAAATTATAGGTAACTACAAGATAGTGGATATAGTTCCCTGTGCTATACAGTAGAAATTTGTTGTTTACCTATTTTATATATAGTAGGTAGTATCTGAAAATCTCAAACTCCCAATCTATCTCTTCCCACCCCTTTTCTCCCCAGGTAACCATAAATTTGTTTTCTATGTCTATTTCTAAGTCTATTTCTGTTTTGTAAATAAGTTCATTTTGGTCTTTCTTCTTCTTCTTTTTTATTTTTTTTGATTTCACATATGAATGATATCATATGGTATTTTTCTTTCTCTTCCTGGCTTACTTTACTTAGAATGACAATCTCTAGGTCCATCCATGTTGCTGCAAATGGCATTATTTTATTCTTTTTTATGGCTGAGTAGTACTCCATTATATAAATATACCACAGCTTCTTTACCCAATAATCTGTCGATGGACATTTAGGTTGTTTCCATGTCTTGGCTATTGTATATAGTGCTGCTATGAACACTGGGGTGCATGTTTCTTTTTGAAATTGAGTTCCCTCTGAATATATGCCCAGGAGTAAGATTGCTGGATCATATAGTATGTCTGTTTTTAGTTTTTTGAGGAATCTTCATACTGTTTCCCATAATGGCTACAACAAACTACATTCCCACCAGCAGTGTATGAGGGTTCTCTTTTCTCTACACCCTCTCTAGCATATCGTTTGTGGACTTTTGAATGATGGTCATTTTGAATGATGGTGTGAGGTGATATCCTGTTGTCATTTTGATCTGCATTTCTCTAATAATTAGAAATATTAACATTTTTTCATATGCCTGTTGGCCATCTGTGTGTCTTTACTGGAGAATTGCTTGTTTAGATATTCCGCCCATTTCCAAAACCACATATTTGAAACAGTTCTCTGAAAAGGGTCTATAGAGTATATTTTAGGCTTGATAATATTAATAAAGACAGTGGCCAATTTCTTATTTGGCTAGACTAAGGAAATAAGTCAGGTATAATAATTTACTTTTGAATAACACTTTGAGGGTTGTCAGTTGTTTCATAGATTATATTTTATTTATACTTATTATAAATATCTGATGTGCTATACATAATTTGTTATCTCCTAAATATCATTTTATAGCTGGGAAAATGGAAATTTGGAGATGTTTAAAGCTATGCCCGTGGACTTATGCCTAGCTCATTATAGGGAGGAGCTCTCTCTAACTCTCTGCCTCTGTCTCCATGTCTCTCTCTCCCTTTCTCTCCCTCTCTATGTATATATATTTTTTTTGATAGGGTATAGCTTCAGGTACTTTAGCTTTCATTACAGAAGCTTGTTGTTTTAGCCGTCCTCTAGCTTGTAAATATTTTAGAAATACTGTTGTTACAGAGATTTTCAAAAAACAGTTTTCAATTGTCTAGTGGATGAGATTTTACTGTTTGCTCTCTTGTATTTCTTACATTTTACAAGAGTTTTTGGGGGAGATTATTCTTTTAATGGCATAAAAATTTAGAACATCTTTCTTTGTCACTTGTCATACCTTAATAATGCAATGGAAGCCCACTCATGTGAAAATTATATAAATTTAAGCATATTTTATATCTAATTTGGTACATGTCATATAATCACTGTGATGTATTCGGATATAACTTTCAGGGAATCTCTGATGTAGCTGCATGTTTTTTCTGGATATGTTTTTAGCTTTGAAATATTATCATTGTTTTTACTTTTGCGGTGGCCTCATTTGTTTGCTTAGCATTAATGAAAATAGTCCATATTAGCTTAACACTTTTATCATTACTATAAAAAATATGAGGGCAGCTCCCATGTAAATTACATAAAATATCAACTCTTTATATATGTATATAAATATATATTGCATATTATTTTATTAATATGCATATATTTACTAAAAGTAATGCATGTTCATCATAATGAATGAGAGTCACACGTCAATTCTTCACTCATAAATGCCCAATATTAAGCAGGCAATCCTCACTTTCCATGGTGTTGCAGTGGTCCTGAAAAAGACCATGTAGGTTTCATGCAAAGGGATCTTACTGAGAAAAATTATGACAATTTTGTGACCTTAAAATTTTTAAACAGAACATTAAAACTCTCTTATTGTTAGTATAAATACATATGGAATAAAAATAATAAAACTAATAATCATTCAATACATTATTATTTAAAACATTAGAAACTGAGAAAAAAGTATTTAATTTCTTTGCAAAACACCCATCAAGACTACTTTGTACAGTGTTTGCCTTCACTGTTTGATATGCTGTGGATATGGAATGAGGAACTTTCTTGAATCTTGGCCAAGTATATTCTTTCTAAATTTGGATCAGTTTCCAACTTTGATTTTTTGTGTTTCGATGTTGTGCAATATTTCCAAGAGTGCCTTTAATGTGAAGGTTTTGTTTTTGTTTTTGTTTTCCCTGGTGTCACTTCCTCTGGGACATCTTTATCCTTTTCATTACAACTCACTTCTGTCTGTAAGTTTGCCTTCAGTAAGTTTCTCTGTATTCTTATTTGGAATACCTTAAATGACAGCAGTGTCAACATTCTAATGCTCAGTTATTTCTTCTCTAACTCCGTTCATATCTGATTCAGACTTTACTACCAGAGCTATCACTTTTCATTTCTTCGTGCACTTTCATCTTT